GTATAAATTTATTTGGCATAAACGAGCAGCTCTAAGATTTCTTCATATACTTGGCTTTTGGTTCGGGGTGGCTTGAAGCTTGCTGACATCTTAGATAAGAGGAATATTTTTATTGATGATACCTGCCCTCTCTGCCTCTTGGAAGAGGAAAATAGCTCCCATATGTTTTTTCAATGCAATTATTCCTTTGCTGTTATTTCACACCTTCTTCCAGTTTTGGATAACTTCCTGTTCAGACCTACCCTGCTGCAGTTGTTTGAGTTTATTGATGAATTAAGCATCTTTAACAAGATGGATTTCTGTTATTTTGTGATTTGCGGCCCTATTTACTATCTATGGAGAGAGTGCAAAATGATAGAAGGTTTTCAGGATTACAGTCCACGCATCATGCTCTTTGCTAGAAGTTAGCTCTGGCTTTTTCCCGGAATCTTTCTAGAAGGAATCATGCTGATCTTCTTCACAGTTCATTCCCCTCGTGCTTTATTTAATTGGTTGGTTGTCTGGTTTCACCATTTTCGGGATGATGATGATCGGACCTGCCTTTTGCCCCTCCCCTGGATGGCCAATGGGATGCGGTTCACTAGTGGTTTGACACTTGGCCTGGCAGATTCTTCATTGCACCCTGTTTGCCACTTGAGCTGATTTCAGCTGGCAGCTGGGGAGATTTTCTCTGACGCTGATGATGGTTTGGCTTTGGACATCTGAGCTCTACTGTTTTGATGGTTATCGATGTTCATAGGTGGGTTCGTTATACCTGAGTCCTGTAATTTTTTGGAAGCTTTTTTGGCTTCATTTCAATTTTGGGTTCGTTGTTTTATTTTAGCCTATTTTTTCAGGCTGATTTTATATGTCTTTGTAATTTTTGTATATTATAATATACGGGACATCCCTAAATTTTCCCCAAAGAAAAAAAAGTTGGACGCATGTAAGCCATAGACGTCCCGCATCGAGTCGCTCAACACGACCCCCTACATCCTCGACATCGCATAAGAGATCACCTTGGACCCTAGCCACCAAACTCGGCCACTCGTCAAACGTCCGACTCTCACTCGACCTCCGACTCCAGCTCCACCTTCCTCTTGCTCCCGCATTTCCATCTCGACTGATCCTCCATCTCGCTTCCAGCACCAGTGCTCTTGTACTCCCGACTCCTCTGCATCCCCTTATCACACCTCTTACCCAATCGACCTACACACAGTAAACAGATCCACTACTCAGCTCGACCAGATTCCATCTTACAGCTATCTTTCTCGCTCAATTTGCTCTAGCCAAAGTCGATCCACTCGAATTATCAATTTATTGCAGATAATAATAATAATAGTAATAAAGAGAGCAAGCAGCATGTATCATTCACTTGAAGACCTATGCTGTCAATCTTAGATTCGGCTAGGAATGCATAAATTGAAGCCACCGCGCCATTGATCTAGGTGGGATGATTGCTCATTCAAAGACCCCGCGCGCATCTTATCTTAGATTTGGGTAGAATGAATTTGATTTGAAGACCTCACATCGTTGTATCTTAGATCCGAGTGAAAAGAATCAAATACAAGTATCTCCCAACATTCCCTCACGGAGAGGGGATGCCGGTAGGCTGCCAAAATTTCAAATGAAAAACATACTCCCTTTTTACACAAATCTTCAAATTCATATGTTTTCAAATCATTCAAGTATCTCACAAAATAATTGAATGATTACTAATTAATGACTTATCTAGGATATTCAATTACAATAGAGAACATTTTGGACCCTAGGGCTACTGTTGTAGATACATGATCATGTGATAACGGGGCTATATTAGAACAAGTGATGGATTCTTATATAAATGAGAGTTTCCATATGGTAGAAAACTGGGAAATCTAAGCCGTATCTAATGTGATAATTACAAGCCAATCAAGAGCCTCAGTGATTCCTAGGCTTGAATTTATATGGTAAGATAATTTTAATGTTCTTAGACCTGATGGCTTCCCATAGTAGTTCAATGAAATTCAAGCTCACTTATTAACTTATGTATCCCATAGAGTGTTTGAAGTAGCTAGCATTGTCCCTAAGAAAATGCAGTAGGATCTCAAATAAGTTCCTAGCTATTATAATATCCGGAATTGGTGACGAATATCATACAACTCATGAAAAAGGAAAAGGAAATAATGAGGCTATCGGATTTCGGACTAAACATATTTACAGGGAGCTGAATTTAAAATTAAAATTATAAATAAAGTCTCAAATATTTAAAAGATGAACATGAGACATGTAATTAGCAGTAACAAGGTATTCTAGCTTCGACTAGATGTATATGTTATGATAAATGATAGATATGAATAGTTAAATTAAGCCACCAACAAGAAATAATAAGTGACCTTTATAAAGCAGGGGATTGGTGGTGCACACAACTAGCATGTAAGCAATAATAGGATATTCATATCAAATGGTGTAACTCACAAGCAATAACACGATCTCCTAATGCCTATTGAATGATTAATGCCTATTGAATGAACATTTCTTATATGCAACCAGATTCACAACACTTATACAAAGTGGACAAAAGACGATATCTCTATAATAACTCGAATATATATGCTGAAAATACATCCCGTATGTGCTTCGATCTTCACATATGATTCTTAAATCCAATGATATGAGAATGTTACGCGAGTCAAATATTCAAATATCATCATTCTCCTTAAAAGGACTGGAGTTGGCATAACTTGAATTTAACATCTAAATCACAAATCCTCTAAAGTGATTCATCAAATCCCCGATGATGGTCGTGTTGAAAGCTAATCTCAACCGAAGAGGACTCCAAAAATTTAAAATGCTTCTCAAATTCTTATGAAAATACAACTTTGATGTACCCCGATGATGATCGTGTTGACAATAAATTTCAACCGGATGGGTCAATTCTCACAAGCCTATTAAAACTTTAAAATCTAATCCCTAAAACTTAAAACTAAAATCCATCCATCTTGTGCAACAGTTTATTTGGGGTGGTAAATTTAAAATTAACCTCAACTTACAAAGAGCGAATGTCATGTCTAGTGTATCACTAAGATTTATCCTCAGATAGTCTCTTGCTACTAAGGACGTGACATGTACCTTCTGATCAAGTGGTTGTATAACAAAATGACACCAATATATTATGATCATGGTCAAAGCCCGTATGTTCTCTAATGGTGTCAAATTCTTGAGCAATGAATCATAGGGTGTTTTGATAAGCACAAAGCCCTTTTTATTAGCTAAGGTGGATTCAATTGTATCCTCTCATATAAGCACTCCCCCATGTCTACAAGGTATTCATAGATGAAGCAACCCATAGTTGTCGATAAAGTGCCTTCTATCAAATTCAGTTGACTACCTCCTATGACTAAGTAGACTAGGGATCATGAAAGCTTGAGACGACATAGCCATGAGAACTTGATCGGGTTGTCTTCATTTCACCCATCACATGTTTTAAGTATATGGGGATAAATTTAAAAATCATAAACTCTAAAATTCAAAGACAAATTCAAACCCTAAAATTGTTGCTTTTATATGTTAGGCTTGGACCTACTTAAAAATAAAAAAAATTAAAAAAAAGAGGCTTGGCTATTTAACAACAAGCCTTAATTGAAATTTCTCTCTCATTATCGAGAGATATAATTAACTATAGGTGCTTGAGCCTATAGGAAAGCAGAACTTAGATCATAAAATCCTCATAAAATAAAGGTGAAATCTCTGGGTAGTGTTTTATCTAAGACCCAATCTGCTTTTTGAAAATTTATCCTGGAACCTAAAGTCACTGAAACTCTCCTTGCCCACATAAACAATTAAAAGAAAGAGAGCGCGGAGAGACTGGGGAACGAAATTTTCAAATCCCACACTTATATATTAGAAAATTTTAAACAAGTTTAGACTTTTTATTTTTATTTGAAATTCTAATATTATGTTACCCAATTTTTATTTTTAACTCATTCGATATATTTAATACTGCATACAATTATGTAATAAATAGTGTTAATAAAAAATTAATTAACAAATCTACACTTGATCCCTATTTTATTAGCTTCATTAATTTCTTTCATATACTTTCATATAATGTATAATCTTTTTTTCTCCCTTCTTTAGTCTATATATAGGCCTTTTTTATACACTCTCATAAATAAAGAATGCATTTTTAAATAAATTTGTTTATTTTGATATTTATTTTAATTTAGTAAAATTTTTAATAAAATATTTTAATTTTATTAAATTTTAAATATTTATTTAAAGACATATACAAGTAAATTAAATAAGAATATATAGCTGCAACATCATAGAGCTTGATTTGTATTTAGTAATTTATGCTTTATACTATATACAAAAGCACTACAAACCCGAGTGAATTCTAAATGAGAATTTAATCATAAAAATAGGTTGATGTAAATTTAGACTGAGAATGTGAATTTTTAAAATTTTAATTGTTTATATTAAATTTGAATACTTTTAATATTTATCATTTTATATAGTCCAACTCTGATTCAACCCGAGTTGAATCATTGAACTGTAAACCTCTGCTTCATTAGATTTCATGCTTGATCCAATTTTCACAACCTTAATTTTTTTTTCTTGGAAAAGCATTTGTTAGCATTTGTTAACCTCTGCTTCATTAGATTTCTGCTTAATTCCCTGCATAAACACAGTTATTTTATATTATAAAAAAAATAATATATTAAAAATAACAGTCACCATCATTCTTCAACAACCAGAGCCCATCATGAAAGTTCTGCAAAGAAAATTATTTGGATAATTGTACATAAATAATAATAAATCAGTCTACATTACAGACAATTCCAAGGCAATATCTATGAAGGAATGCTACTTACATAGAACAACAACATTTCTTTCATCAGCTTAGCTCAATACAGGCTTCAGTCACCATTAACAAGCTAAGATTTCATTTGGGACAGTTTTTTTATAGCTTCTTAAAATAACTTTCTAAAAAGCTGTTTTAAGCAGCAGTAAAAAGCTATCTAAAACAAAGCTAAAGATACAAAAGAAGAAACATTGCTTTCAACAGGTGAGGTTGGATATATTATTGTATGATGGGTGTTTTATTGTGATAAACTTTATTTATAGATCTTTAGAAAAGAAGACAGGAGACAGGAGAAGTAGTAGAGAAGTAGCACCCCTTAGCTCTTTTATCACATCCCTGAAGTAGTTTTGGATGCTTCTTTGAGTGCTTTCAAGATATCCTCAGACCTGATGCCTTCCTTGGTATAGATGATAAGGGGGCTTTCTCCTGGAACAACATCCTCCCTTTTATAGCTGCTAGCAGTTCTGAGTAGCTCTTCTGATCCTCTTTCAACCACACCCTTCATGATCACAGTCTTGTGAGAACCTGCAATGAGCTCCTCATGGTCGGTATCGCCTCGCTCGCCGAGGAATATGTACATATTCATTACACTCAGACCCCAGCGAACAAACAGGTATCTTGAATCAGAGAACAAGCAGGCCATAAGGTTTTGCCAGTCATGATTCAGATCAAGACAGAAGAACTTTATAAATTTTGGAAAAATTGATACCTGAGTGCCTGCGACCGAGATGCAAGGAGAGGAACGACGTGCAACCTTGTCAAGTTCCTGCAGTACATTAGATGGCATCGAAGTCCTCGCATCCGAACCTTCCGGCGGAGCTCATCAATTGGTTTGGCCTAAAAACATTTCATCAAACATTACTCCATGAAAGAAACATTACTCCATGAAAGAAACATTGTCCTAAAAACAAAGACTTTGTATACCTTCTTTGGGTCATTGATCAGAAAGGAAATACAATGGTCATTGCTTGCTGTGACATCCTCAACAACATTCTCAAAAGCTTCAGCATTGTGATTACCCTGCCCATCTTGAGAGTTCATCAGCTTAGCTATAGTCCTCTTCACACCATCATATGCCCAACGGTAATCTATATGCGTCGCAAAGTCCTGGTCTGGTTGCATCCTGCCATCAGAGTCCATACACTGCAGAGTCCCTGGGTAGTACACCTCGCTTCCGCTGCTGCAGATTAAGGCGTCGAAGTCTGTCGCGAGGATTTTACCTAACTTCAACAGATTCAATGTTTCAGAAACCGGCATGGCCGTTGATATTGCAAATCCAGAAATCCTTGATAGCTGATGGTCCGACCTCACTGCACGAAAGACTTCTTGAATAACTTGAACCAGCTTCCTTTCAGGTTTACCATTTTCATTGTAGCAGTCGAGAGCAAATACGAACAGCCGGCGTCGCCGCCTAAGGAGAGGAAACTTATTTAGAATATTTCCTGAATTTGCCCAACCAGACTTCATGGTACCAAGCTGAGATTCAGGGTGTGCTTGCTTCTTGATCTTGCTTAGAATTCTCTTCACTTGATCAGGCAATTCAGCATCAACACCATCATCAAGCTCAGGGGAGCCATTAAATGAAATCTTTTCATCGATTGAAAGGCGTAGAGAAGATTCATGAACGTCATTGAGGGAGTCCCATAATGACTCCTCAGCATCATCATCAGGTGCACCTGGAGTGTCAGTCTGCCACTGCGGATGACGCATACGGCTTGCGGCGACACGAGAAAGGTAGGTGCGGCAGTGCTCTGGCCACGAGAACAAGTGTATGTTTCGCCAACCATTACGTCGGCATTCAATCCACAGGTTCTTGTCAGCCACAAGCTTCAGCAGCGCATCAGCAATGGCCCTGTCGTCGTGAGGATCCACAAGTAGTCCATTGTTCAAAGCCTGCAAAAATGAAAACCAATAATTGAATTTCCTCAGATCTTCCTTCTTCTCATTTGAGGTTAGAAAGCAGTTTTCATAAGCATATTTACACGCTGAATGTCAACCGGACCACCATTTTTTGTCGCCACCATTGGAAGCCCGTGTGCAGCTGCCTGCAATCAGCCAACAGAGTTGGGTTTTATCTTTAGGATATTGCTTTCTCTTTAAGTTAAAATTAGCCTGAGGCTGAGCAAACCTCAATCAATGTCAGACCAAAAGGTTCAACAAGAGCTGGATTTATGAAAACTCCCTGTATGTTGAATGCATCTATAGTTTAGAAGAAGATGACTTTTTCTAAGAAATAGGACATGGTAATTATGATGTGAACCTTCGTTTTTGCCGCAAGCCGATAAATATCAGGCACATCAGCCTGGTTGTGGTGCTTTGGGTAAGCGACAAGACCATAGAGATCATACTTATCAATTAACTTCAGAACTATTGTCAGGACACTGGCATTACCAGAGGACATCACATCAATGTCATCCCTGTTTCCCATGATCAATGTCTACATGATCAACAAGGTAAATTCTAAGTTATCAATTATACTGTACGCAAAGTAACTTGAGAAAGAGAAACAAAATGAATTAATCAAAATTCATTGATTCCTTACAAGATTTGCGAGGTCCCTCAGCGGACGAGATTCCCCAAAGGCTTTTAACAAGGTGGTGATATTCTTCTTTGGGTCAGGTCTCGACAGTGCCAGGATCATCGGCTTGTGGGGATTAGTGAAGAACCGCATGATCTATGTAAAGACTCAGTTAAATTCCCAGGAGCAGTGAAGAAATTCTTAAGAAATATCTAGTAAGTTGATGCGACTGGAGCTTACTTCGGACCATATTGGTGGAATCGACTTTGGAGAAGCACCATCCGAGCCTATAAGAGCTGCAAGATCTCCATCTGCTTCAGCTTGCTCTTCCTGCACTACAACATTGCTGAAGTCCATCCCAGGAGGAATTACCTGCAAATGCCAATGGGTCTCAGGTTGCTAGAAGGCAAATACGAAGATAAGATTTAACTAATTGTATCACGATGCTCTCCTTGATCTGTTAGTTGGATGCTTTGACTATCAACTAAGAGGCCCCTTAGTTAAGAAAAGTGATAGTGAACTTACAGCCATCCTCGGCATATATCGTCCATGGCAGTTCACCCCTCTCCTAGCACGAGCTCTGAGCACTTTCTCAAGCTTGACATCAAAGCCATCATACAAACCCCATTGTTCCTCAATTTCTTGTTTTGTACTCGTGATCACAAGCTCAGCAGCATCTAGTGAAAGTTCCTCAGCCTCAATCCTCCTCATTATCTTGTATGTAGCGTTGATATCATCCTTTGATTGCCTTCCTTGCTTTAGGAGCTGATCCAACTTATTTCTCCCTAGTGAATGACCAGTGAGAACCATAGGGACATTTAGGGCACCAGAGAGAAGTGCGGCACTATCGCCGGCATCAGCATAGTGGCCATGGATCACATAAGGCCACACCGGCTGCCCCCCACCAACCTGCTCACCTAGTACCCTTGACATGTTGATTATGTGAGCAAGGGCTCCATCTACAAATTCCTGGATATATGGCCAGAGAAGCTCCTTCCTGAGGTACTTGTCCCTGGGACCAAACGGGATACGGATGATATAAGCTCCAGCGCTCTCACCAAGTTCATTGCCCTCCTCATCACTGGAACCAGTGGTTAGCATCTCTGTAGGTTCCCCATAGCTCCAATCAACCTCAGGTGCTGCGATCTGGCGTGTGAAGAGATCCACCCGGTACACTCCTGGAATCATTGATAGTGCTTTAGCAAGCTCTACGACATACTTGACCTAAAATTTATAAGAAGAATAAAATAAGTAAGGAATTGTATAGAATGCATTCGAAGGGATAAACATGGAGGAAGTTGTAAGAATATTCTTGCAAGATAAACTCTTAAATCAAATAAAACCTTGATAGAAAAGGATTCCTAATAAAAAGAAGCTTCATTGAATGAGATGGAATCATGTCATTTGTGAAGATTTTACATATTTTTTTGGAAGATAAAAAGGGTATATCACCTGACCCCCAGTGTCCGAATCACAACCTAGCTCCATGTTCTCTCCACGGACAAGCCCATGCAAGCTGTTTGAAGAGACAATGGTTAAACAACACCAATTTTAATAGAAAGGTGAAAGCAATGCATGCTACCTGATGAGAACTAGATAAAGCTTCTTCTCCTTGCTTTCCTCAGACCAAATCTGGAGATCAGAAACGTTACTCTGGAGCTTCTTCTTTGGTGTATCAAAGTGGAGGATCTCGCCCACAGTGTCCCCTTTCTCTCCTTCTGATAATTCCTCTGACATTTCCTCGGTGGCTTCCCTTCGCCCTTGTTCTCTCTCCCACCTTCGTTTTGTTAACCTTTGGAGATCTTCCCATTCTATCTGATAATGTATCCAAGTTAAATTCTCAGGAAAAATAGTAAAAAGATGCATAAAAAAGGCCACATTATATTTTAGTAGAAATTAAAAAAAATACACCCTTTGTTCCCAATTTCTCCATGTACTGCAGGAATATCACCCGTTTAAAAGATAAATAACATCAATCTCTTTAGCATGGAGTCACAGCAAAAGCATTAAATTAGCCAGGCATAAAATCAAAATATAGCTACACCTCAAATTGTGAGTGCTAAGGTATGAGAGATAGAAAGTAGTAGCTATGTCCAGTCTTGTAGATAACAATGCTCTAAAAAAATAAAAAAAAAAATACAACTTTGAATAGAAGTAGTTATATCTACACTTGTGGATGGCTGCACAAAAAAGAATAATAGAACAAATTCAACTAGGAATTGAATTAAAACTGATAGGTTCCGCAACAAACCTTACCTTTAACCTGAATTGATCCTGTTCATTTTTTCTTAGTACATGCTAGATCTGTTCATTGCTCGCATTAACCATGGCAAAATCAAATCATGATGGAAGCTTCCTCCCTCTAAGCCACTGGGGGAGTTTGCAGTCGCTAGCTAGCAATGCTTGCACTCACCCTGTATTCCTTCTGCAACAATGTTGTGAATACATTCCTCCAACAGCTACGAGGCATCATTTTGTCATCAATGGAACCTCATATGAATAGCAAACTTTCAACCATAATCACTAACAGAACATAGATAAGTTGCTGCTGGTTTCACCTATCCCTTCAGGGGAGAAGCAACTTGGCTAGGATGCAGCATCTCCTCCATATACCTTCCTACACAGCTCCTAAAACTGAGATCATTACACTTTGCCATTGGGCCACAACTATATTGCTTATCTCTAACAGCAAGAAGACTATCTCCGGATGATCTTCATTAACACTTGCACCCAATTGCATCCACCAACAGAGCCACCTCAGTACACTCTCATGATGGCTAGGAGTCCAAAAAAGTAAACCATGAAAGAATTTTCTAGGATTACATAGGCTTAAACTTATATTTCCTGATTTAACAGTCATTCATAATCAGGCTTGAGTTAACTACGACCATAAAGTTCCCAGCTTTAAGATGCGTATGGATCATCTGCTCGGAGTTGAATGAATTCTGAGGTCCATGATTCATTCAAGGTGAGGCATATTGGTTGTTGATGATTGCTACATGCTCTTTTAAGCTAAAATGATACTTCCTGTTACTGTCAGATTTAAAAGGGTCCACTACAAATATCAACATTTTTGAAGCTACATCAGGAAAATTTACTTCAGCACAATCACAAAAATTGATGTGGCAAGACCAGTCAATGGATTGGAATCTCTTACAGCCACTACTATGAATGCTCAAAGCATCCTCCATTTGCTAATGATGATTTTAGGGCCAAATCAATGGCGTGTATGATATCCTTAAGTGGTGTTTAACTCATCAGCTAGTTTATTAGGGCACAATTCCTTAAATTCAAAATAACAAGTGACTAATATCTTTAGGCATTAATAAGATCTTTATTTTATTCTACAATCATGTAGGTGTAAATTATTTCCTCGGTACCTTCACAAAAGCATGTTGGCTTAAAATGAGCAATGGCTAGTTCATCGGCAGTGTAATTCTATGATTTAATTCAATAAATAGAATTAAAATTAGAAGAACGTCTTTTATTCCGCATGTGGATGTGGTCGTGTTAGCGAACACTAGCTCATCAATAAGAAAACAATTTCCATGGCCAAGGTGTTCAGGACAACTCAGAATATGCAGCTATCGACAGTTTTAATAACATCCCTTCCAAATAACTCTAATTAACAAAAGGGCAAGCCAATCTTTCTTGATAATTCTTAATGACATCATATTGAATATATCTTTATGGATGCTCTTGTTGTTGAATTAGTGAATTCTCCTCATAGACGTGCGAAGGGCAAGTCAGTTCTGAGATTGCTAGTAGTTCACAGGTTATGAGAGTGTAGCTCAGTTTTGGACAGAAGGGCTCATGATAAAATCCTCAACTGAGATGAGCATTTAAAGGCCTCTTTTAAGAAATTTTAAATATTTTAAAAAATAAATAAAATTGGTAAAATTACAAAATCATGTCTTATGTATCCCTCTCTTTCCCTAACCCTAATTTAACCTAGGTTGGTGACCTTAACTAGTGCTCCTAGGATTGACTCAATACCAGTGTAAGGCTAAGGTTTGACCAAATTAAACCGTTAAGTCATGGACTACTCACTAGATCCATTGACCTTGGTTTGGACCACTTAGATTAATGTCAAGTAGTTCAGAAAACCTTCTCATGGTCAACTTAGCCTGATCCCAAGTAGACCATGTTTTGACCAAGGTTGACCTGACTAACCCTAGTGTATACCATTATAGAATTTTGACCCTTGCCGAGGCTAAATGACTTTATGCGATCTAGTAGTTTCATTAGCCTCTAGAATGGCTAATGCAGTGCCCTAAATGGTCTCAAATGATCTTGAGTCGGCTCGTGACTCTCACAAAGCCTGAATAACTCTTAAGAAACCCTAAGCATGTTACAAGTTTTAGTCTTAGCTTTTCTCTTAGGTGATCCTAGGAAAACTACTAACCAACCTCTAGGTATTTTCTAGTGATCTAAACTACCTAGTAAAACCATTATCACCCTTAACCCTAATTTAGACTAGTTGTCTTCAGATGACTTATTAGGTTTCTTAAACTTTTGCTAAGGGATTGCCCTAAGTGGTATTAAGGATCTTAAATCACTAAATGACTTCCTTACCTAGCTCTAGCTTTCTTTTAGACGATCATAAGTGGATTAGTGCCTACTTCTTAAGACTATGTTGGTAATCCTAAATTTTCTAGTGGATCTCATAGCTTAGACTTTAGCTCTACCCTAGTTAAGTTTACGTAAGCTAATCGTATGTCCTAGTTAGTTCTAGTTGACCAAGATTGATTAGTGGCTTGTCCTAAGTGATCATAGATAATCTTAAGTTTGCTTAAAGATTGGGTTAGTTTTAACTAACTCTAAAGGAAATCTGATGTAACATTCATCTTAGGAGGAGTGTTTACATCATTAGAATTTATGACAAATAATGGCAAGGTTCACCTAGGTTGGCATGTGCCTATATGCTACTGGTTTCTTAAAAAAAAATTATTTATCTTAGATATAGGAATTAGAGACTTTGGAGATCCTTTTACCCTTCACTTCACTAGCATCTTATCACATATCCTAACCTTTAGATATAGGATTCAGGACTAAGATGGGTTCACCCATATTTTTTTTTTAATAACATCAAAGTCCCTTTAGAACATTGGCTTAGGACCTTTTGAAAACATACTCAACCTAAGGGTTGATTGTGCTTATTACTATTGGAATCATTATAACCCTTGATCGTGAAACCTTCCAGTTAAAAATATATTAGCAAACACTTTAATTATGGACAAGCTAATAACCTGAACATCACACATTGATCAAATTATTAACATTAGATGTTGTGATAGATGCATCCTAAGATTTGGGTATAGCTAAAATTGCACTCTTTTTTCGCTTGCTAAGTGATATATTGATGAGTTGTCAATGATGCTTGACTATAATTATGTGCGCTGAGATAAAGATATTTTTCTTGCAGGTGCTTATAATGTAGTGCATAGCTCAGTTGTGATGCTCTTTTTGGGTGAATTGTATAACCTAACTACACAATGAATATTTAAACTAATTATTTTATGCAATTTGTTATGTTTTTTACCTTAACGTGCATTAACAATTGTGTATTTATATTTTTTTTAGGCTTCTTTTATTGTAAAATAACTAGCCTGTACATATTATCACTGAGCTCTTAGAATGTTATATCTTCTAAGATAACATTTAAATAAGATAAAATTAATCATAGTTATTTGATTTTCATTAAAATATAATGTATGGTTTCTCTTTAAGCCATCCTTTTAATATAGCCAACATATGCAAGCTCTTTGGGTTTGCCTTGTAAATTTATTTTTTATCTCGCATTAATGTTCAAATAATTAATTGAAATTTACATAGTCCTACCTCATATGATACCCTTTATGATATGGCATCCTTTGCTTTATTAGAGACTATGTAAGCCCCATTCTTAATAATTCAACTTGACCTTATCTTATATTTACATGGGGACTTGGGTCGTTGTTTTGAAGTGCTTAGGTGGATCTATATGATTATCTATTTCAGGCTTTTTCAAACAAGATTTTAAAACTATATGTTGGGATTTCTAAGCCTCTAATGGATTTATGTTATAAGTTCCATCACACTCATTCGCATTAGATTTAGTCATGCTATAAATCCAAGTTTGATACTAGAATCACTTGTAATATTTTAATTATCTTTCTAGATAGTTCCCCAGTGGTACATTCACCATCATGGTGGAATAATAGTAAACTTTATTTTCTAATAAAATGATCAACTATACCAAAAGCTAAATATGAACATTGTTTCAAAATGTAAAGCCTAATATAGTTTAGGAATTTAGACATCTTGAGTTTCTCAAGGTTGTCTGCCCTAATTTTTATCTTTCTTAGAATTCTATGCTCATCTTTCTACATTTTTGAGTGATTTCCTTTTTGATATTTATTAAAAATCCGAATTCAGATGCCACTGGCATGGCTTTAATCTAGATTTTTTTAGAGTTTATCCATTCTAACCAATGGAACTAGATCTTATTGGAAACTTGACTCCATAACAAAATAAATCCCATCTAGCTTTTTCTTTTTAAGGTTAGATATGCGAAGTTTCTAAAATATATATTACTGTCTTGAATCCACGGAGTGATTTGTCTTCAAACTTTTGAGGTAGCATAGTCCCTAATCTATGAAGTATTTAAATAGAAATGTATATGTGTAATTAATCTACCTTCCATTAAACCCATGAGGAGGTTTTGTTTCCATTTCTTAAGGCAGTGGATTCTCTTTCTAATCATGCCACTTCCATTGAAGCTCACACCAACCATGTAGTAGGAAATGTTCTGATCTTCCCTAGCCAAAGGCTCCCCTATTGTTGACTTCCCCATCATCCAACCAACAAAAACTCAGTCACCTCCCTACAGACAACTCTTAGTGCCTTGTTAGTCGACAATTCTCAACATTTAGTCTCATTGTCTCAACATCATGTCGATCAATACATTCTTAGTAAGTCATCTTGAAAAGTTTGACATCCAAAAGACTCGACTGACATTCCCCTTGCCTTCTTGATGGGTGCCCATGTTATCATCTTGGCAAGTCATCTTGAGAAGGTTGACTTCTTCAATTCTCTGCAACCAACCTCTCCACCTTCATGTAGCCCTCATTGTTATTTCAACAAGACTTCTAAAGAAGGTTGATCTCTCAATGCCCTTGTTACCATATTGGCAATTTGCTTTGAGAAATCCAACTTCTCAGTGCCAATAGCTTCAACTCCCCATATACTCAATTTCCTTGTCTTGTCAGCCTTTTCTCAAGAGCTCGCCCAAGAAGGTCGACTATTCAACAACCCTCCTTGGCCAACTTCATGGTATAAGTTATGAGTTCTTGCCGTCACATAGTACATAACACATTTTGTTATCTTCTCGGGATAGCTTAAAATGCACACATGAGAGTACCTTATCATTGCCCTCGACCCATCAAATTACTATGCTACTCAATTTCCTTGCTACTAGTGAGTCCGTGATGTCATTTAGACACAACCTCCAATCACTGGCCAAACCATCAATTTTGGATGGCATTTACCTAACATTAAGCCGGGTCTCCTTATGTGTAAGTTTTCCTTTTGGTTTCTTGGGGGAAGTATAAGTCCAAACTCATGGCCAATTTTTGCACTCTCCCTTGAGACTAACATTAAGTAGTCTCTCCTTACTGTTATATAATTCTCTCTTTGCAAATTGTAAGACCCATATATATATATATAATCGTGGTGCTCGAGACACTTACATTGTTGTGCCCATAAAATATATATATATATATATATATATATAATGCTGGCGTCATCTAGATGCCTTCATCTTGTTATTCTATTTCATCATCTAGTCCTATGTACTAAAATATTACTTAAGGTTGTTTGCTTTAGCAAGGATTGCAACTTAGATCCTTCTGTTAAATCCAAGAACAGGAAAGAATGTTCTTAACTGAAAGTTTTCTTAGGTATCACAATTAATATATAATAAATTATGGAGGCTTGCACCCATGAGAAATTAGTATCCCATTATCTTTAAACCTGCTTTGGCATCTCATGCTACTATAAGAAAATGTTAGAGAGATTCCTCTCACTCTGTCTTGCATTGGTTCTCATGTTGGAGAGAAAGTATCAATTGTTTTCCATCCTCTAAGGTGATATGATCCATCATATTCTTTTATCTCATATAAAGCTCTCTCAAAGTCCACGATCACCTCATCCATGATTCCATGATGCTCCCTATAACAAGATCCTACTCTCGACATAACATCCTAACAAGTCGACCATGAAATCGCTCCACTAGTCAACAATAGCATATAAATACATCTTGATTTTTCTAGTGAAAGGAAAGGACTTTTAGCAATTGTACTTTCTAGAGAGAGAGATGAAAATAGAGGGAGAGGTTGAGTGATTGCAATGAGGCTTCTTTGAGCTCAATGGAATAGCTCCATTGCCCTGACAGTGCAACTTATATTTTTGTGTTCAATTATTTATCCAATTTCCTTACATATCTTACCTACAGTCAAGTAACTTCAGCAAATGCAGACCTCTATCAGCGAAGTTAACTGGTCTAAACACTCTCCTTCCCTGTCTTATTACTTCTACATGTGAAGCTTAGGGACAACTAAGGGACCATCCTGATGGTTCTCTCCCTCGGTCCCAATTCCTTTTCACATATTTTCTACAACTTCAATCATTGCCAATGATTGGCCTTCTTGCAAACAAAATTGAACTATTAGCTGGAGCCAAATTGCCAGTTGAACTAAGTTCTTAAAATTTGAAAAAAAAAAAAAATGTAGAACATTCCTTATTAAAAAAATAGGTGATGCGCCACAGCAAAAGAGTAACATCTGTTCATCATCTTTCTCTGAGAAGAGAAACAGCTGGACAAGCAAGATAAAGGAAAAAATATATATGGCATACTTAAAAAATCACAGATTTAAAAAGAAAATTAAGAAATAGAATATAGCTAGATAGGAAAATAAAAAATAGACACTTACCAAAGTTCAGTCTATTCGAGAAATATATCAATTCATTCAAAAAATCTAAGTTATAAGAGCGCTGTAGCAGAGAAAACCAGGGAATCTCTCGAAAACCAGGCCAAAATCCTAAATTTCAGAACACAAACTATTCATAAAACCTCACTAGGTCTAATTCTCGCACAAAACAATAAATTTTTTTTTTCACAAAATCCTTGCCTTCAAACCCCAAATAGAATAAAAAAGCGCAAAATAGAATAGAAAAAAAAATCATAATCGATCCATTTCAAAATCATCACTAAAATAGTTTCACCACAGAGAGCGAAAGAGGGAGACGACCTGCTTTTGCTTGCGGGCAAGGTGCCAGATTCTCCAGCACATATTCTCGAGTCGGGAACTCCTCTCCCTGGCATTCCTCGTGGCGACCACCTTGATCCAGGTCCGATAGATGTCCGTCTCGTCAACTCCGGTCACCACCTCCTCCACAAAGTACCTCGTCGGATTGAAATGCGCTCCCCTCACCCCCACTTCAGCCTCCGCTGCTGCCGCCACCGGACGTTGCTCCTCCGCCACCGCCGCACCTCCACTGTTCAGTATCGCCTCCAAATACCCATTAATCCACTCATTCCCCGCCATCTCCAGCCAATTCAGCTGCGCTCCCCCACTCTCCCCTCTCCCTCTCTCCTTCCCCCAAGCTTTATTCACGCCTTACTACCTTTTATGGCACGGTGTCGCACGAGTGCTACCTCGGCTTCACGCGTGAGGTCCTCACCTCAATCTCTTGTTGTGTGGTTACAGCAGGCCAAATTCCCCATGCTAATCAAAACGGCTATGACAGCAGTCCACATAATGATCTACTTCTTTGTCGGGAAGGAAGAGAGATGGGAAAGTGGGAAATGAAAAATGGGAGTGGCACTCTTCGAATGGCCCGTTGGTTGAGGGATTTTGGCTTTTTCATTAGCCTTTAAATTTGAAATTAATGTGTATGTGATGAATGATGAGTATTATAATTTGACATTTATTATTTTAAAATAAAATAAATTTATAAATGGTCAATATCAAATTGAATCTTGAAGGATTATTCTTGTCATAAAAGACGACTTATTAGTTACAACTCTTTAATTTATTTAGATTGCGTAAGCAATTTGTAAATAAAGGTTTCGTTTGAGACGGATTTCTTATTGCTTCTTAAAGCAGCTTTCTATCACAAAAATTTTAATTTGTATACTAAAAAGTTACTTTAAGAATCAGTAAGAAAGCTGTCCCAAATGAAGCCTGAGAGCAAGTCCAAATGAAATTGGTTAATTTTATCTTGGTTAGCCAAACTCCAATGACCAGTTATGACCTACATCTTGGACAATCCTATTTAATAAGTCTTTAAGGCGAAATATGAGCGTGAGTTGCTTTGGCAACTTCAAATTGGTCAATATGGGTGACCCTTAGGTTTATGACAACTCATACTTGATGAAAAGTTCATTATAGTGATAGCAGCTTCTTCTAGTCGGCTTAAATATGCTTTATTTGGATGATTCTAATGAGTTTGCCCTAGTGAATCAAAGTGTTGCACCCCTTAGCAAGCCAAGTTGACTTAGACTCAGGTCAACTTATATTTAAATATGCAATTAATTTCTTGATTCACTTGTTCATTTAAAGAGATGGAAAAGAATAAGAGAACTAATATTTTGCATATGTCATAGCCCATGGCAGCCTCTCCTCGTTGAACATAAGGTATAAAAAGAGGAGTACAACATAGGCCGTGAAATATATCATTAAATTTTGAAATTCTATCCATTAGAATAGAGTGGTTGGTGTATCACCATCGATACTAGTGCTACACCTGTTCTAACCTGAGCTATTAAGATTCATGTAATTGACATTATGCCTTTTTCATTCTACATGAGTTTGGGAATCTTCTACCTCTATGGAATGCATGAATTCTACTCTGATGTGTGTTCCAAGGGTCTACGTCACTACAGGAAAATTCGCTGTTACCGGTGGATGGAATCCGTTAGTAACAATGAAAATAGGCTGGAAATTCAGTTTTCCAGCACATTTTCGACGAAAATGGATCCAAAAGTAATTCACGTGTAGGAAAAACATCACCTGCCGAATTATTCTGCCTAAAATATTTTCGGTGGAGTTTCCAGCGTAATGCCTGCAAAAACTTTGGAAAAAACGACGGTGTTTATATTGTCATCTTTTGGCGTACTATCCACTGGTATTTTTGATGGATATCCTCCGCTGGAAATATCTGCGGATAATCCGTCACATCGAAACGATGCCCAATTATCGGTGTATATTACCATCGCAATCTCAGTCGAAAATGACCGGCGCAATATCCACCGAAAATGCCTCAGTATCGTATTGCCGACAGTGTTTCCGACGGAAAATCAACCGAAAACCTGTAGCATAAACAAAAAAAAAATCTTTTTCCTTTAAAAACTGATTTCCACAATTAAACCTGCATATAAAATAAATACAATAATGTATACATTCATGCATCCAGTTCTGATCAATAACATCACCAATTACATTATAAAACATGTTCAAACAATAAATGACAAAATATGTACACAATAAACATAAATAAGAAGAGTATCATCAACATAAGAATTTGTTCTTTGAGCAGTCCAATAAATTGAGTAAAATATTCATAGAGGATATTATATTCTGCCTTCATGCTTAACATCTTAACAGCAACAGATAACTCTGAGTGAGTGGTGCACCCCTTCCATATTAATTTATTGATGAAGACTATTAGGATGAGTTGTTTATTGATGAAGACTTCTTGATTTTTCATTCCAAATGATTTTTCCATGCATGATTCTTTGTTTTATAACTATAATACCTGACTTGTAATCTTTGGTATTAATAGATCCTCATCACACTATTGAAGATGCTAAATTCAAATTTATTCATGGACAAGGCATGATCCTTACTCACAAGAAAGACTAAGAAATAAAAGAAGAGAGAGAGAGAGAGTTTGGAGAAAAGCTCTTTAATTTCTTATTCAAGAAAGTATATGCCTTCACACAACATTTTTATTTATTTTAGGCTTACCATATGATCCCACTTTACATATGAGAGTAAAGAATATGAAATGCTACATTTAAGGGAGATGAATAAATTACATGAAATGTCTTAATTAAGATTTATTATAAAATAAAGATTTACTAATTCTGTCTATTTATTCTTTTAAACTGTATTAATTACTTCTAAATAATGAGAAAATCGGCATGAAGTTACTATTCAACTTCATCTTTGCTGGTTAAGTTCGGTGAGTAACTATACTGGGTATTTTGGACAATCCTACATGATTTGCTGCGCAAACCAAATACGTAGTATGTGAATAGCTTTAGCAACTTCGAACTATTTCACACAGTTAACTCAGGTCGTTATGGTGCTCTTATCTCAGCAGGAAGCTCACAACACTAATATGACTTCTTCTACTTAACCCCTGATGCTAAGTGTGCTTTAGGATAAAAAATTACACATATAGATTATAGAAGTTCATTCGTTGGCTTTACTCTAGCACATTCGATGCATCGAAATCCCTTAGGAGGCCAAATTGACTTGTACTAGGGCAAATCAAATAAATATATTTTATTTGTGATAAATTTCATTTGAGCATAGAAGCTAAGAATATTCTCTATATGAGGAAGACAAAAATAAAAAATAAAAAATAAAATAAAGATTTTTATGCTTTGTGAAAGGGACATTGCTCCATAAGGTTAAATTGAGACGGGACAAATATTTTTTTTTTAATTTATTTATGAGATAGTGAATGCCATGCACAATAAGGAAGATGAGTTAAAATAAGGAAGAAATTCATCTAA